CACAGTACAGGCATCCTTCCTGGCAACTGTATGGATCTAGCCATTCTTCATCGTTTACTACTGTATAGCTAAAACAATCTCTACTTCATCTAATCATTCTCACATTCACAGACAGTTTTTAATTTTTGGTAGGGCTTCTTTTGCTTTATTTTGCTTTGTTTGCTACAAACCACATCACCACAAATATCTAAGATTGTTTTCCAAGAGACACAGCCAGTAGGACCAAATAGAAATTTTAGGACAAAACAGGTAGACTAGATCATTTTTCAGACCATTGAAGAGGTTTGTAAAAGGAAAGTTTTCTCATAGGAGTTCAAGATGTCTTTCCCCTCACGTTTCCTTTTATTTAGAGAGCTAAAAGTGCTTTGAGGCATTGTACTGAACATAGTGATACAGGGAGCCCAGACACGCTCATAGATGAGAACTGTACTGGATGACATGGTTGCCATTAGGCACAGGTAGGTTTTTGAACTTAAAGTAGATAAATTCAGTTCCTCAGTCTCAAGAGCCTCTTTTCAACAGCCCTATGGGATAGGGGCTGCCAGGTTAGACAGCACAGGTGTGGAACATCCCATCGAGTGCAGAGTTCTGCTGGACAGGGGGCTGCCAGTTGGGATGATGTCACACCATCTACATTGAGATCAGGGCTCTGCCAACCTGTCTGGTGATCTTGGACAGGTTACTTTCCCTCTCTGAGTCCCAGCTTCCTTGTCAATAAAATGAATATAATATTAAATTTTACGTCTATTCTCTTGTGAAGATTAAGCACAATAATATTAAGTGTTACCACCTTGCCTGGAATATAAGTAAATATACAAGATGTAGAAGCCATTATTCTTTTCCCAGTGTTTCCTTTTTATTTTTCCCTTTTCTTTTTGAAGAGGGAAAATACTATATTTCTTATCTGAAAGCTAATCTACAAGATACTGTTGACTTGATTTCCACCTACGCAAACAGAAGACAATATTGTAGGCTGCAAAAAACCCATCTGTCTGTCAGCCTGGTACCTTCATTTTTTTTTCTTGCTTTTTTTTAATGTGCTGCCCCTGAGAAATATGATAGAATTTGTCCTACTTCTCTTTTATTAGGAAGTAACCCTCTGGCTTTGTTGGAAGCATGGTTTGTAATAATTGTACCCACCCCAGATGGCTCCTGAAAACCCTTTGCAATGCCATCTGTCAGGCGTGTGTCCAGCAGCAGCCTGTCATTCTGCTGCAAGAAAAGAGGAGGCGGGCCCTCCCCGAGTCCTCTTTGCCTGCACTGCTGAATGGAGCCCAGTACGTTGGCGCAGGCCCAGCTCAGGCTGCTCCAAGAATAACCGGGAGTGAACCCCCTGCTCCCGCAGCATGCAGTGGTTTTGTCTGGGTGATAAACCCTGAAGGTCTGTGGGTGGGTACTCACCCGCCTACCCACCTCCTTCCCCTGCAGCTCAAAGGCCATGTGAAGCATATTTATTTACTTGGGAATGACATCTCTGCTAGTTCCATTTTTCTTCTGAAATGTAGCACTTTTGAAGTTCTTGATTATTTAAAATCCTTTCAGGAAATTAAGAACCAGTGATGATTGTTGTCTTTAAATCTGACAAATGGGAGGTGGAAACATGGTTGAAAAGAAATGGTAAAGATGTCTGTAGAAGGAAGGGGAAAAACTAACAATGTCTGGCCTAGGAAGAGTTCAAAACCCCAACAAATCTTTTGTTTAGTTTCATCTTTATTTTTAATGGGTTAAGTCATTGGAATTTGTGTATAGAAGCTGAATAGGAGAGTTGCCATGTAGAACATATTTAGGACAGACCCTTCCGTAGCACACTTTGGATGCATTCTGTCCTTGCCCCGCCCTGGGATTTCCAGTGTGATATGGACTGTGTTGCATAAGGACCCAGCTGAACAACTTTCACAGTTGGCTGCAAGACCTCCCAGCCTCTGCCTTTGCTCCGGCCTGGCTGGCTGCTGCTTCTTGGTCTTCTTTTAAGATCTTTCTCCTATTCCTAGCTCCTAAAAATTGGGAGGTCTTGGTGTCCAGTCGAAACTTCAACCCTCCCTTTTCTGTTTTCTCTCTTTGGTTTCTCTGCCTTCACATGCCCCTGGTTCACTGGTCAACTGATCACTCCTAAATTTGTTCCAACTTTGACTCCAACCTTTCAGATTTACAGGGTCAGTTGTCCTTCACCTCTCTGCCCTGAATAATCTCAGCCTTAAAACATCTCCAGAGTGACTCCTTGACTCCCTCCCCTGAAACCACTTCCCCCAGTTTTCTCAATGTTTATAAATGGCAAAATGCATTTGCCAGGTCAAATAATAAGAAGCCAGTCTCTTCTTATTCCATACATACTACATCTAATCCATTAGCAAGTGCTGTTACTTACATCTTCAAAATATATAGGTAGTATGAAGAGATCAGGTGACATAGTGCTTTAATATTCTATCCTATGGATAACATTACAGCTATTTAATCTGTTCATGTTTTACAGTAGAAAATTGAGTACTTCCTTACCGCCTGTATCCTGTTATTCTAGTCTACACCCAGAGCATCTCTCCTGGACACTGTCACAGCCATACAACTAGTCTCCTTGCTTCTAGAATTGCCCACCTCCCTCTACTCTGCCCATAGCCTGCTCTCTGTGACACCAGATCTTTTTTTAAATGAATACTGTATTCAGGTACCACCTTGCTCAAAACCTTGTGGTGAGTTCCTATTACCTATGAATAAACTCTGATTTTCTCCGTGGCCTGCATCCTGTGGCCCTTGCTTTCACTTCAGCCTTGTTTCCGTCATGGAGCTACACGTGCACCAGCCACTGACCCTCCCCACACACTGTGCCAGTTCCCGTGTCCAGGTCCTGAGCTTTTCCCTCGGTCTAGGATGCTTTCCCATCACCTTGCATGAGTCAGGCTTTTCCCTCTCACCTACCCAAAATTCCTTTCCTGCTCCTGAGCTGGATTCCCCCTGCAAGGTACTCTCTAGCCCTTCAGCTTGCATTGCTCTGATATATCATCGAAACCTTTAGCCCGCAGAAGAATTATTTCTACACAAAATCATGTGCCGGTTTTATTCACACATTTATTTTCTCTCAGTAAAATACAAACTTCATAAAGGTAAGGATTTTGTCTTGTTTGGCAATGTTTTCTCAGTGTTTGACGTGTTCAGGGCCTTTGAAGATACTCATTAAACAAATGAAACATACAATGGCATATACACATATGTATGTATGTACACGTATATGTGTATAATATCATATTATTGTAGGGGGATTTGAACTATAAGATTCCATCAACTCACTTCATTCTAACAGTAACATAAACTGTAGTGCCTACTGACAATTACCGAGCTAAGCCCTCTTCACGAATTGCCTTCTCAGGACATGCAGTACACACCTGTCGTGTGAGTGCTGTCATTAGCCCTGTCTCGTAGAAGATGCTGAGAAGGAATGGAAATGAAGGAGGATGTCTGAGAGCACAGTCTCGGGGTCCAGACGACAAACCTGTCCTCTCCAGACCCTTGCTCTTCAACCTTCCATGAAACTCTCCTTCATTTTCTTGAGAACTCACTGTGTGCCTGACACTGGAGAAGGAACTGTAGGTGTTGAGAATGACCTCTTACCCACCATGGTGCCCAAAGTAAGAACACACAGGAGGAGTATAGGAGTGGACCGGGGGAAGCTAACAGAAGCAAACTTCTGAACCTGTAGAAAGCCCCCATGTGATGAGCACGAAAAGCGAACACTGCAACACAACCATTCTGTGAACAATTTGCAGCTTCTTAAAATACTCAGATTATAGATGTTTTTTAAAGTTCCATACATTTAAAATTTTAGTTATCCTGAGTAAAGTATGCAACAGTTCTTGAGGTTCCTGACTTAGGGTAACTGGTTGTCTAGGGCAGGTGTGTGGACATGGTCATCCTTTGGACAGGGGTGGAAGTGCACATTGCTAAGAATACAGGAGCTGCTAGGCACAAAAACAATTATTTAATTCCTTTAAAGTTGAAGGAGGAGAATCATTGGAATAGGGAAAAAGCTCTGCATATTAAGTAGGAAAACCTAAATCACCGTCAGTGATAATGATACTTTGCAAACCTAACTGTGTTGATCTTATCCCCTGATTTGTATGTGGAAGCGGAAATCACAGTATTTACTCTGTTTTGTTCTTCCGTGACATTAACGTAGGTTGCTAGTACCTGTGGTATTGTAATTGCTTAACATTTAACATAGGTGCTAGTACACGTGGTATAATTGCTTCTTAGTTTCTTTTTTGTCTAAATCACATTTTGCTTATTGCTCCATACTTTTGGTTGAGGCTGGTACACTACACTAAAAGGAAATCTGGTTTTGGGGCTGGGATGTAGCTCAGTGGCACCACACCTGCCTGGCAAGCACAAGGTCCTGAGTTCACTTCCCAGTACCAGGCGGGAAAAATGACTAAAAAAGAGAATATGACCAGATTAATTCAAGGGTTAATTTTTCTACCAAATGAAATGTCCTTCCTCTGTAGACAGAACTTACGGGTGGCCTGTTTTTACAGAGCCTATTAATCACGCGGAGAACAGCAGCATCTTCACCCCTGGGAGATGTCCGAGCACACTGTTTCTCTAGTGATGTGTTTATGCAGAGGGTGTCATTCCTTCAAAGGGCTTATTACATCAGAACTTTCCAGGTGTGTTGAGAAGCAGAAGGATTTTAGGGCCTGTGATAAAAATATAAAGTCTTTAGACACTGCACTTAGGGTGAGTAACTGTAGTATTTACTTGAGTACTAAAAGCTGCACTTGAGAATGTTGTCTGTATAACAGCCAATTTGCCATTTGATTCGGTGCATTTTAAGACGTGGTACAGCTGGAGGGGACCTGAGTTGTTGTCCTGTTAAAAGGGAGTTGCCTGTCCCTGTCTGGACAGGTGAGTGGCATGTAGGTGTCTCGCTCGCGGGTAGGGTAATTGCACCCGGGTGTGGGGCTTCCTGTTCCGGGGGCTGATGGCTACTTGTACCCTTGTCTTTTGTGCTGCAGGCACGACCCGATCTCCCAGAGAAGGAGAGGTGCCTGGGGTAGATTACAGTTTCCTGACCGTGAAGGAGTTCTTGGACCTCGAGCAGAGTGGGGCTCTTCTGGAAGTTGGCACCTATGAAGGTGAGGCGCTCTGGAAGCCCCAGGGATCAAGCCTTCTGGGAAGAATGCGCCAAGGACTCTGCGCAAGCAATGGGAGATGGCAGGGCTTCTTATATGGTGAAGATGATGAACTGTACGGAAGAGGGTTTGTGGAGTTCTTCACAAATAATGTGACTTTCTCCAAAAGTGTTCTCTTTTAGTTTATTAGTTTAAACATACATACTTTCTGTTTTAATATGGACATACATGATACGCTAAAGAAGAGGAAGAAGAGTCATAGGTAATGACAAGACATCATCTTGTAGGTAGTGCTGTTTTAGTTTTGAAGCAATGAAATAGCATTTTGTCTCTAGCCAGTGTTTAATGTATTTTAGTAGAAAATACATTTATATAGATATATTTACATAGCTCATTAGGCAGAGTATTTTTAAAATATTGAATAAGTAACCTTCATATACCTGTTTCCCATTTGCCAAATTTTGAACTCAGTATTATAAGCTGTGTTACTAACAACCGGTGGTTTCTGATTACTTTTCTGAAGTTTCTTTAGGTAAATATAAATGTGTTTACATGTCTGTGTTTTTATTTCTTGCCTGTTCATACCATACACACTGCTTGGTATCTTGCTTTTTTGTTTAACATTGTCTCTTAGTAGGTCTTTGCAGTTCGGTAAACAGAGCGCTTCTTCTATGCTTCTTTGTATGATTTCTTTGTATGAGTGTATCATAATCTATTTAACTAGCTCCTCCTGATAAGCGTTTCAGTTGTTTTCAGTCTTCTATCTGTGAGAACACTGCTGTAGTTAATAATATGAACATCTGTCATTTCACACGTATAAAACTGTGGTACAGGCCGAGATCCCACACGTGGGATTACTAGGCCAAAACCAAATGTAGAAGGTTGCATTTTCCTTATTTATTTTATATTCTACTTTGCTGAACTGGTTTTCCATAAGTGGTATTTAGCTGAATTGATTTTTACTTTTTTAACAGTGTGACTAACGTGATAATTATGTGTCTCTGTGAGGTGGTTGGTCTTCGCTGTGTGTATAAATAAAGTGACCGGACCAAGGTGACTGACGTACCTATGACCGCAGCAGTCACTTCTTTGTGTCAGGGGCTTCTGAAATCCCTCGGCTAGCTGGTTTGGAATCTGTGACCCGCTCTGTGTAAGCGGCTGCCCCGCTGTGGAGCAGAGCGTCAGGAGCGATCCCTCCTCTCCAGCCGCGTTCCCTCCCGTGAGCCTTGCTCCCATCTCCCTGCAGCAGCCCCTTCTCAGTCTCTCGCTGTCACTGGGCTGACTTCCAGATCACCTCTTGCAGCTGTCACATAGAGATAGCATGAGGCGCTTACCTTTGTGAGCCTGGCTTATTTCACTTACACAAGGTCCTTCGTGCTTATCCATGTTGCCACCAATGACAGGTTTTTGTTTTTATGGCTGAATAGTGTTCCGTTGCATATACAGTAGACCCTCGAGTTACGACCGGCCTGACATGAACAACTTGGGTTACGACTGGAATTTTGGGCTAAAGTCTTGAGTTACGACCTGAATGCCGGCTGCTTGTGCTTCCAGAGGGTCTCAGGTACAGATTGAACCCTTAAAGAGTGCTGGCAGGAACATGACAGGCCAATGTCTCTCTAAGGTCCCCGAGATCTGCCTGTCTACAGGAGAGAGACTGTGAAGGCTGTGTGGAGGAGCCTGAGCATTCAACTGACCACCATGAGTTATAACCAGCCCCCAGGTATTAATTGAGTTTGTAAGTCAAGGGTGCACTGTATAAACCACATTTTCTATCTCCATTCGTCTGTCCCTGGACGCCTCGGCTGATTCCATATCCTTGCTATTTGTAAGTAGCAGTAAGCATGAAAGTGTAGTTATGCCCTGGACACAGTAATGTGTTTTTCTTTGGGTATATAGTCAGTAGTAGAATTGCTAAATGTATGGTAGTTCTGGTCCTAGTTTTCTAAGGAAGCTCCATACTGTTTTTCCATGATGGCTATACTAATATATATTCAATATATAAAAGGTCTTCTATCTCCATATCTTTACCACCATTGGTTATTTTTTATATTTTTGATTATAGCCATTCTGACTGAAATGAGATGTAATCTCATTGTGGTTTTGATTTGCATTTTTGAGATTAATGATGTTGAGGTTCTTTGTTTTTCTGGTTGGTCATTTGTATATCTTAAAAATGTTACATTTTATGAAGACAACTGTAGCTTGATTGTCTTTAGAGTGTTATTTAGTGAGGCAGAAGTGGTGTAGCATTACATTACTAACTAGGTCAAATTAACTTGATCAGTTATATGTATAAACTCTTAAAATTTGGATTTATTGGATAATCACAAGGGTATTTTAAATATTAGGCTTAAAAACAAAACATAAATATTATTTTATTTGGAATAGCATGGCTTTGATGTGAAAATAGCCCCAAATACAGACAGTGGCTAAAAGTCAAGTAATGATTAGGAATCCTGGGTATCCAGTTTCTGCTTTGGTGGTCTCTAGAGAAGGAAATGCACACTTATAGCCTGGTCCAAGTTGGAAATGCATGTAGGGCAACATGCAGATGTTAATCGAAGGGCTGATTATGAGCCTAGCAATACTGTCTCAGGTCAACGCTAGCTATCAGTAGGAGGTGAACATGACTCGATGGCCAGTGGGCTGGGTGAGGGTCTGTGAGTCAGGTCCTGGAGTCTCCTGAGGAAGGGAAAGGGCTAGAGCGCGCTGAGGAGTTTCTCGTCCATTTGAGTCTGCCCAAGATCACCATGAGCGCAGCAGAGCAAGTGTAAACCCTTCCGGTTAGCAGATATTGGATTGTTCTTATGTCAGTCATTCCGAGAAGCATGGTTCCCAAAGGCATGGTGTGCATTTACATTTTTAGAGAGGCATATCAAAAGAGTACAGGATGGAAAGGGAAAGGGTGATGACCTAGTCAGCAATCTTATGTGGAGAAAGAGAAGTAAGCACTGTATTCAGTGTTCGTGTCGCAGATTTCATGTACACTGGGTAGGTTTTTCCCATTTAATTCATCATTGTGTTAAGAGTAGCCTACTGCTTTCACTGACTTCGGATGGGAATGCTGAGGGAAGGCCAGTAAGTGATTGTGTCGAGGTTGTGTAGCAAGCAGTTGCTTGGTCAGGAACCAAGCCCAGCTCCGTTTGACCTTCAGATCCCGCACTCTCTCTTGAAAATCCCAGGAGTGTCCTGGGTGTAACAAATAGCCCATCAGTTCTTCAGCCCCAGTTCCTGATGTATAGAAACAGGGAGGTAAATAACTTTCAGAAAATACCCAATCGTTTTAAATAACTCTCTTGTGAAAGCTGCTTGGTGATTTTAGAGCCTTCGCATGCCCCAAATTAATCCTCTGCACTTTTTACCCATTCAGCTATGCAGTGTTCAGCCTTTGACCTTTTAGCGGTTTAATTTGTCTACCACATAAGCGGCTCATAATTTTTTGGAACCAAGTGGGATGTATTATGTTGCCTACATAAGCTGAGAGAAAGCAAAAATCTTCAATACTGTCCCGAGAGCAGCGCTGGTGAGCGCCTTCGAGAGCTGCCTGTGCCTGGCCTCCCTTATGCAGCCATCCCTCAGTGGCATCTGCTGTGGACCCAAGGGGCAGGCAGACCCTGGGTCACAAGCCCTGGGTTTTGTTCCAGTCCCTCTGCTGTTGTGCTGTGTGTCCTCTGGCGAGTTACCTAGTGTTCCACGGCTCCGTTTTCCCTTTGGTAAAATGCGATGACCATAGGGCTTCCTCACAGGCAGACTAAATGAGACAGCACTTGGGAAGGGCTTGGCCAAGTACCTGACACAGGCAACCTCTCCGTCAGCATCAGCGCTCCTGCGTACACACATGACTGCTCTGAAGCGACCGCCACGGTGGACTCCTGCCCTCTTTCTAGTAGCAAACCAGCAGACTTGGCAGGAAAACAGGTCTCCTTACCTGACAGGTTCTAACCACCTTTTTTACCTTATTCACTTTCTTTCTCTTGGTCTCTACCAAGTCCAGAGAAGAAAAGTCTAGCACCACACCAGACAAGCCAAAGCAAAAGGATCAGCCGCTCATAAAGTGGAACCTCATGTGAGCCAAAATAAAACCGTCCCTTTTTAAAGTGGCTTGTCTCAAATATTTTGTTGTAGTAATAGAAAGCTGGCTAACACAGTGACGGACTAATCCCCACAATAAAGAGTTTAAAAATATGTCAGTCCAAGTTGCTTGCTCTCTTCCCTGTAAGTAGCCATTGTTAAACAATCTAGTACAGATTTTCAGAAAACATACACATACAAAGCATAGGTATTCTTGTTTATTTTACTTTGTTCTTGCCCTTTGCACTTAATGAACCTTGAAGGTCCTCCCCATGCAAAACTTCCCATGCAGTTTTACCTTTTTCTTTATAAATGCTGTTCAGTATCCAAGTACTATGTGTGGACATTCTTACTTTATAGAACCAGTCCTCTGCAAATGGATGTTTAAGATATTCCCCGCTTGGAAATGCTGCCATAGGGGTCCTTGTACAAATAGCTCTGTACACTGTTAGGGCCTGTCTCTGGCACTGCAGTGTGTGTGTGTTTGTGTGATTTCCTTTGAGACAGGGTCTCGCTGTGTGGCCGAGGCTGGTCTTTAATTCCTGGGCTCAAGTGATTCTTGTTCCTGGTCTTTTGCAGTGCTAAACCCCTTTACTGCATGAATAGCTCGTGCCAAAAAGTGTTTACTGCCCTCTGATTTTGTCTCATGGCCAGGGTTGTGATGCACAAGGCAGAAGACCAGAGCAGCTCTACCTTGGAAGGTGCTTACACTGATAGTTACTGTTTTCGTAACTCTGTACAGTACCTACTGTGTTCTGGGTGTTTTCAGAGTACACTGTACATACAATTTTATTTAATTCTCTTAACCAGCTTAAGCTCATTTCACAGAAGAGCGATAGGACTCTCAGAGCCAGCGATATTTGCTGTGTTCGCATGGCAAAAGCCAAAGACAGAACTGGGATTCACACACAGTCCCATGGCTCCAGAGT